GGGGGTTCAGTCGTATGATGCTGTGGGAATGCGCTCGTCGCGAGTGTCGGATTTTTGCTGGACTCCTCCCCCTACTAGTCTGCAACATGAAGGCTCTGTGGAGTACAACCATCACTTGCACTGACGCTTCACCATCGGGTTTTGGGATTTGTGAAAGAGAACTATAGAAGTTGAACATGTCCAACAAATTGGTAAGTGGCATGAGCGTTGGCGGTACAAGAGAGCCCCTTGGAGCCTGGAAGCCTCGTGATCGTGCCTTGGGACTCGACCCCTTTCGTGACTTGGACACTGCTAGAAAGCCCCCCCATGCTCATGAGGTGGGTGATGAATATGTTCGTAATGAGGAGTTCGAAGAGGTTCCTTTGGATACTCTGGGCCCCCATGACTGGTCAGTTCAGCTAAATGGGAGTTGGAAGCATCTTCAGGAACATATCACTTTAAAAGAGGGTCGTGCATTGACATTGGCTATTCGAAGACTCTCCCGCAACAGCCGACACCGGGGCAAGCGTCTTTTGATTTTTGTGGACATAGTGGCTCTTGCTTTCAGTGTTGGGAAGGGGAGGTCTTGCAACCATGCCATGTTGCGGGTGAACCAGAAGATTGGAGCACTCGCCCTAGCCTGCGGATTGATTTTGAGAGTTCGGTGGATTCCATCCGAGTTCAATGTCTCAGATGGGCCATCGAGAGGTTCGAAACTTGCGGGCTGGTTCAAAGACGGGGAGCTCATCCGTAAGCACCCAAAGGAGCTCCTCTCAGGCCGGCTATTTACGAGCACTTCGTGGATCGTTGGAAAAGAAGGTGGTGAAGAGAGTGGAGCCAGTGAGGATGATAAAAGCCATGAAGAAGGAAGTGAAGTTTGTAGTGGGTGTGAAGAATACACCGTTTGGGGACGAGGGGAAGAGAGCTCAGAAAGGGAAGCTCACCATGTTGGAGGTCAACAGCATCAGTGGAGTGCAGGAGGCTCAATATCAGCACTACCTGAGATGCTTCAAGGACTTCTGCAAGGAGAGCAAGATAGGATTTCCAAAGGACAACAAGCTGGATGCCGTTTTGGCCGATTATTTCGACGTGTTGTTCCTCGATGGCAAGACAGCCGCCGAGGGAGAAAAGACACTCGCCAGTTTAGAGTTCTTCAACCACAAGATGAAGGGCAAGCTGACTCGGAGCAGGAAGGCTTTGAAGGGTTGGAGGAGGCTCCGACCGCCGAAGTCTCGACTGCCCCTTCCCAAGCCAGCCGTTTGGGGCATAGCAATGCGACTCCTTTTCAAAGGGGCGAGGGAGATGGCATTAACAACGCTCCTGAGCTTCGACGTCTACTTGCGCCCAGGAGAGACAGCCGATCTGAAGGTGAAGAATTTAGTGAGGCCGGTTGGGAACGCTGGAGTGCAATACAAACACTACACAGTGGTGATCAAGGACGAGGACGACCAGATTCCCGACAAGACCGGAGTCTTCAGCAATTCAGTGAAACTGGACAATCCCCTGACTGCCAGTTGGTTGGGACCAGCGCTTCAGCAGATGGTGCGAAAAAGGAAGCAGGACGATCCATTGTTCAGCTTCGAGCAGGACAAGTACCGGAAACGGTTTCAAGAGGCCGGCTCCTGGCTTGGCTTGCCAAATCTGCACTTGTACCAGTTGAGGCACGGCGGGGCTTCAGACGATCTCTGCCAGCGAATCCGAGACCACAATGCAGTGAAAGACAGGGGAAGATGGTTGACAGATACCTCAGTTCGGAGGTACGCCAAAAGTGGCAAGGTTCAGGAGATGTTGAACAAGATGCCAGCTTGGGCCCTTCACGCCAAACCTGCAGTCGACAAGATGGGAGCAGTGGTCCGGGGGCACATGGGTCCCTTGAGTGTTTAGATTGGTGCACCTATACAGGCAGATTTTGTCTTGAGATACTTTCGGGATGTGGGCGCTTGACGAAAGCTCTTGAGCAACTTGGCATACCGTGTTTTGGGCTGGATCTTCTAGACAACCCTTTGAACGATGTGCTGAACCCTCAGGTTGAGTCTCGCATCTTGGAGAAGATTAGGGCAGGACAGATTTTGTTTGTTTGGATGGGAATGCCATGCACCACATTTAGCATGGCCCGTCGAAATGATGGGATTGGGCCTGGACCCCTACGATCTGATGAGTTCCCCATGGGGCTGCCTTGGTTAAAGGGAAAAGACCTCGCTAAACTTTGTGTTGGAAACAAACTGTTTTACTTTAGCATGCGAATCTTGTGGGCCTGCCTCGCTGCACGGGTCCCCGTCTGCTTGGAGAACCCCTTGACTTCGCGTTGCTGGAAGACACCGATTCTGCAGAAACTTCTGCGTAGCGGACTGCTGGACACCACTCGACTTTTGCCAGTTCGGTGAGCGCTGGCGGAAACCGACCCAGCTCGCTTCTGCATTCATTGATCTACGTATACTGTTTCCAAAACCTGTCAGGGTTCTTTTCTGACCTGTAGCTATTCAGGGCGGCCTCACATCGCTCTGAAAGGTGTCGATGCTTCAGGAAAGTTTTTGACTTTGGTTGCCCAGCCATACCCATTTTTGCTGTGTAACCAACTGGCAGACGCCATTAGCACACAGCTCAAGAGCGCAAGCGGATAGGGGAGGCGCATGATCGATGCAAAACGCTGATCGCGCCTGAACTTTTGAAGATCTTTGCATGGCATAAGATGCCAAAGTTCCGCCTGATGGCAGACCTTTACAAAGCGAGCAACGCTCTCTGGCCAAAAAGATGCAGGCTGGAGAGCGAAGATGACATCATATATATATATATATGTTTGGACTTAGGATATCAATATATGTGTGTATATAGGTAGTAT